GCGGTTCAGGTCTACTGCTTGTATTTAAAGAAAAAAGACTAAAATCTATCGGTGCAGTATATCTTGGCTCTTGGGTCAAACAGATATTTTTACACCTCAAAATTAACGTTTAAAGGGTCTGTAAGAGGTAAAATAGTTTAGATTTGGATCGATTTGAAGTAAAAAAAAAAAAAAAAAAGTGTATGCAGAAATATTTAATATATTTTCTTGAAATCCTTTTTGAGATGCCTAGATGAGTGTTACAAAACCTGTCAGTGGTGACCAACATTAATTCACCTTTAAAAAAAAAAACATTTTACAGTTGCTGCTCTTTTAGGTTATGTGCAAACAATGTAGGACCTAACACGGAGACTTGAGGAACACCAATGCTTTCAAATGTACATCATACAGCAGTTCTTTCCTCTGTTTCATTCCCAATTGATATTTTTCTCTATTTTACTCAGTTTTATGTTTCCATGCGTAGGCTTTATGTTAACAGGAGACATGTTTAGTTTTAAATCTGCTCCCCTGTGGTTTTCAAAGACTGCAAAAGGGTGGAAGACAGATACTGTAAATCTTTACCTACTTGCTCAGATGGGATTTCTTACCCTCATACATGCTCAACAATGCATTGTTGGAGTTGGTGGAAATAAATGCACCCAAAGCACACTACACCTCTGCAGAATAAGACACGTAATGAGAGTCTGGGATCTTTGATATGGAGTTTTTGAGATAAGGTGAGCATAGATGTTTCTACTGAACCCTGCGTGATCCATACACGTACTTCTTATCTTCTTGAAGACTCTTGCTACTGGACCCCTGGACTTTTGCAAGTGCCTTGGAGCTACTCTGTTCCAGCCTCGGCTCTGGACCTGAAAAAGACTGCTTTGGAGCATTCGTCTGTCTTAAACACTCAAAATACTTGAGAATCACAGCACTGGGTATAATTCCAGTCTCTCTTTGGACACTTTGTACAGAAAATGTGCTTTTTATGCTGATGATTATTGTTATTATGATTATTTAATAAAGGATTGTTAACATATTGGGTTGATGTGGTGTTGAACATTTCAAAGTGGATCCATGAGGAACATTAGTTTGACGATGGGTCTTGAGTTTTGAGGTTACGAGAGCAAGGGCTTATGGGATTGATAAATGAGTAGAATACTCATTGCTCAACATGCTCACACACATGCAACTAATATTACAAATACCAGACCAGTGCATAACCTCCACTGACAACAAAAGGAGTCCATCAATTGAACTTTTGACTCTATTAAATATCAACACATTCAGTCATAAAACACATACAAACTCGCTCTCGCTTTCTCTTTCCAGCTATGTCTGCTACAGTTTCTCTCATCTCCCCATGGGCTCCCATTAGCACGGACCTTCAGTCGCCTTCATTTAGGGGCTCACAACATCAAAGCTTTGAAGTGCCTTACTGTTCCACCCCCTAAAGTTCCCTTCATCCCTTTACCTCATACAACCACCCAGTTGCATCCATTTAACTATTTCTCTACCTCAGCTTCCTCTCTGCTTCATAGTGTGCCTGCCTTTGCCTTTACCACTCTGACTGTTTCACTGACTAATGATGGGAACAGTGAATTTCAGTCTAGTAAGGTCAATCAAATCAGCTTCGCTCAAGATCCCAAGAATACCAATAGTATTGGAAGTGGAATTGTGTGGCTTTTGCTACATGTTGGTGTAGTCCTTTAAAAAATTGTTTTATAATTCTCTTATAATTAATTACACTAAATTAATGTATTAAATGGACTGCCGCATAGAAATGTAGGACACAGAAGCTTCCAAGAAAGAAGGGTTGCCCATATGGACATAATCAGACTCTGGACACGGACTGTAAACTTAAAATACTGTAGTCAACCTTTGACCCCAATCTAGATCTAGAGAAATATCATTTACCATTCTCACGCTTCATATTGCTCTCAAGATCAACATTTTGACTAGCACATCAGTCATTTCTAATGTAGAGTCGCTAAAAGCCATTTTGAAGAAATACATCAGTGGTTTTGTTGACTGGAATAACATGATTTCCAAATATTTTAAAATGTTCTATTGGCTGATTCTTGATTAATGATGTTCTGTCTTTAAACTCAACACAAGGCATCTGGATGTGTGGCTTTGATCGGCAAGCTGGACTGAGCGATGGAGAACCAGGAAATTGCTCCTAGGAGCCCGGCCGTCGGGCTCTGCTTTTCCACCCAAATTATTCTAAACTTTTGTTTCGTAAATGTTGTTTTCCCTCCCTGCCAGATTGAAATCTAATTCTCCACTGGGCCCTTGCTAGCGAAGATCAGAGAGCTTTCCCTCTTTCTCAGTAAGCCGGACTTTCCATCAAAGCTCAGCCTTGCACGCTTGAAGCTTATAGGTGATCAGCTTTTGAAGGGGCCGCACTAAGAAATACAAAGAGTGCACAGCTAATTCATCTCCAGAGAACTTGACAAATGATGGAGAACTACAGGCACGCAACTGTACTCCTCCATTCCCAGATGGTTACTGAGTCTAATGTCAGTTTCTGATGTAAAGGGTTTGGTGCGTCTGAACGACTCCATTGAGGGAGGGCTTTCATGCTGCAGATTATTCATTTGCTTTAACGATTTTAGCAGATGCTGTTTCTTAGCAAGGTCACTATACGATCTCCTCGGTCTGGTTGGTTTCACATCAGAACAGATACAGAAACATTTAAGATCAAGAGTTCATGGTTTCTATCTTTAAAAACAGCATATTGTGCCACTGAGTGTCAATAACAACACAACATGTTCTACTGGTACTATTCATGCCAGCATAACTTCCTCTGCTCTGTCCTTGTACATCCACAGATGGAATTATTTCCAAGCACCAGAGGTCAGAGGAAATATTTTTAAAAATGTTTTTGTTTTTTAAGAAAATTGATCTCAGTGACCCTCAGTAACTCTCAGTGGAAGCCAAATCAAACATGATCTGCTAATCCTGCAAAAACAATTATAAATAAATACTAAATTGCAATTATAAATACATATAAATAATTATAAATACATATATTATACAGTATGTGCTATGCATATTCCTGATTATTATTTTTATTCATAATGTTATTATTTATATATGTGTATATATTATTATTATGAGTTTGGCATTGCTCCTTTTATGTCACCTGTACTGAAATATTTTATCGGTTCTCTGTTGCATTTTAAATTCTTGCTTTTTTAGAATGTTCCAAATTAGTTAAGGTTCTGGTACAGTTAGGATGCTGTCTATGTAGGCAGAAGGCAAAAAGACAGCTCTGGGTTTTGGAACCGAACAAAAATATGTTGATCTAAGAACATGAACTACCTGCAAAATCATGGTCGCTGATTAGGGGATAAGACACAAATGTAACTCTATAAAGCACAAATCAGCATATTTATTTATCAGATGAAAGTTTATATTGTCTGCCAAATAGTACAAATTGATTTCCCACATCTATACCTTTCCCTATCTCAAGCTCTGTTTGGCCCTTTGGCTCACTCAGCAGATTGTGGGACGTCCTCCCAGAGCAGCAGCCCTCCTCTCCCCTCGGCCAGCAGTTGAAAGCTCTTTTCTGGGTCATTCGAGGGGGAAGCGGGGTCTGTGTTTCCACTGGAGCTGGCGACAACAGCAGTCACTGCTTCAGATCTCCTGCTCTCCTGCATCTTCATTATTTGCGGCACAGGAAATCAGCTCTGGAAGTAAATAAACAGAGGAACTGAATTAGAAAATCAGGTAGTCAATGGAAACTAAATGAGGTCAAAACTAATTTTATCAACCGTTTATTGTGGAAAGAAAAAAATCTTGGGAAAGGAAGTTCAGATGTACCAAAACACGGCACTATTGTATGTAGTGGTGTGTTCCTTTCTGCAATAATATGTATGTGATATTCAACTTTTCTGAAATCAAAATAAGAACAGGAAAATGCATTTATAAAAGTGTTTTATAAAGAACATCTTTCTTTCTACCTGCTCTGTTCCTCTGGCAAAGCATTTTAATATTGGCTGTAAATGGAATGGACAGTAATGTGCAGTAGTTAAAAGTAACTAATCATACTGTGCTTTACTATGTCAGTTCCCATACATTTCTGATTTTAGTTGCTCTGCAGACTCTTTAAACAAAGTAATATATTATAACTGACATAAAAATAATTACATGAAAATGTAGTGTTTATGTGAGTCGTGCTTGTGTTACAGCTCTGAATGATGTGTGGATTGAAATAAGTAAGACTCAAGGCACTCAGGAGACTCAGGAGTTAATGTTCTGCCCAGCTGTTTGGATGTTGATTCACCTTCACCAGACCACAATTAATGTCACTCAAACACATTTATAAGCTCTCATTCAACTGATTGGGAATAATATTTGTTTACTTTTTAGTCCTCCAAAATATGTGTATATGTATGTATATAAATAAATAAATAAATAAATAAATAGGCCTACATACATACATAAAATGTATCAACTTTTGATTTATTTATTTATTTATTTTTATGGGGAAATATGGTGCAATTACACCATCTACCAGCAGACAGTAGCTAGATGTAGCCTACACTTAGAAACTACAATCCAGCAGGTTGCACAAAATCCGCCCAATGCAACAATTTAAAAAAAAGATTGTGCTTAATAACTACATTTGTTCCTCACAAAAAACTCCAAAATAAGCACACGGATTATATGGGCTACACTTATGGTGATATTTCATTGTTTTTATTAATTTTGGAGATTGTCAGTCCCTGGTCATTATGTTGTAGCCTAGTAGGGTTGCCAGGTTTTCACAGCAAATCCCGCCCAATTGCTACTCAAAACTAGCCCAATCGCTTTTCAGGGGCGATCCCCCGGTAAAAATCGCGTTCCGGGGGGTAAAAAAATAACCATTTTTTGGTGGGGTTTCCCTGGTAAAAGTTGTATTTCAGGGGCTAAATATCATGTTATTGGGGTCGCTTCAACCCGCGGACATGAAAACCATCCTGCGGCAACAGTGTT